TGGCCTGATGGTAAAAAAAAAAAAGCCTTTGCATATAAACATTACTTTTCTGGCAACTTAGGAAAAAGTATAAGAGAATGGAGAACATATTCTAATAGTTTAGGGAAGAGTCAGGTCAAAGGAGGACATCCGGGTTATGGTTGACCCACATTAGTCTTTCTAGCCAGGTAGAATAGGTTGGAAAACTCTAATAACGTTAGATTTGGAAGAATTTGTTTCATGATAATTGTATAATAGGCAACTAGCTCACTTAGACAAAATAAACAACGGGTGGGCCCAGACCAACTTCGTTACTTGGCTGTTTTTGCCTTGCTTGAGTTATTTTCATTCACTTATTTATTTCACAAATATTCGTCCAGCCCTTATTATGTAGTAGACACTGTGCTAGACACAGGGGGAATTAAAAATAGAAAGAAAGACTATTTCCTCTCAAGGAGCTGATGGTGTAGTAGAGAGGGAGTTCTACAAATAGAAACCACAGAAGTAAGATCGCTTCTCGAGTGCAAGTATAGGAAAGCAAGTGAGTGAAAATTAGGACTTTGAAGATAGAGACTCAGCTTGTGCCGGATTCCCGCTGTTCCCATGTGATTGTTTCCTGAGGTCACAGGATGAACCAGGATCTGCATTTTAGTAAAATTGTTTTGGGGGTGAAGCAGGTTCAAGGTCAAGGCTAGAATCGGGGAGATTCTCACAGTGATGTGAGAAGTGCTGACAGCTTTATCATGGCAGTGGGCATGTGGTGGAGGGACAGGCAAGAGCTTTTAGAAGGTACCATCTACCTTTGGCCATTAGACTGGCAAGCAAAGGAGGAGACAAGGGAGGTTCTAGATTTCTAGCCTGGGCACCAGAATGGATAAGGATACTATTTCCACTTTGATAGTGACTGTTAGAATACAAATAGGTTTAGGGGCAAATAAAATTAATTTTGAATTGTCAGTTTGAAGAGTATTTATCTGGGTGATATTTTCCAGGGGGTGGCATGAGATATAAGGCTCAGAGTTCAGGAGAAAGGCCAGCCGGGACAGGAAGAGAGAATTCTCAGTCATCAGGGTATAGATGGATCTGGAAGCCATGGGCATGGATCCCATTGCCTGGGGAAGAGAGATTTTGTTGTAATTTCTTAGATCAGTCTGCCAGAATACCGGGGGTCAACCTAAAGAGAGTCACTAGTCTAAGAGATGCTTAGGGGACGTGGCAGGATGTCCCTTTTCCCAAAATGCCCCTAGAAAAGTAGAAGCGCTTTATATAAAGGGGTCGGAAAACCATCTTACGGAATTTTCTGTGTTCCTTTCCAGCAGTCACTGATGGGGGGCAGATGGGGTGTCTGAACATGACCTTCACTTTTCCCTAATCCTCCTTCTAAGGAACGTTACCAGGTTCCTCAGTGTTTTGTTGAATTCCTCATCATGGCAGATGTGGAGGACAAATAATTTTGTTATTTCTGAGAGGTGACAATGTTTTGGGCACAGAACCTTAACCTTAAAATTTAGGTTGAAAATATGGCCCCAAACCAGTAGCCTATTTTCGTACGTGAGTGAAAATTAGGACTTTGAAGATAGAGACTCAGCTTGTGCCGGATTCCCGCTGTTCCCATGTGATTGTTTCCTGAGGTCACAGGATGAACCAGGACTGGGCCCTAGGAATGTCTTTGAAGCCCGTGAGCGAGGCAGCAAGCCAGACTGGGGGCTTAATTCCTTCCTTCCCTGGGTCCAGGTTTCTTTTGGTGCTAACTGACCTGGAGGACACTCCTCCCGTCTGTCCCCTGGGCCATGCAGTCCTTTGTGTGTCCCTGACAGAAAAGGTTGGCGCAAGTGAGCCTTCCCTATCGAGGACTCCCCTCCCCTGAAGCAGCATCCTCTTTATTCCAATGCTTATGGAAAGCGGTGTCTGTTGACCGTCCCTCTTTGGAGTTTTGAGTTGCACTAAAATATGTATAATGTATGGACAAACATGTGCAAAGGGTTTTCGTTTCCATAAGCTCCATCTCTTGACCTACCGAGGCCTTCTGAGGATAAGAACGCCCAGAGGGTTTTGGATCCAGGGTTGTTTAATTTAGGGAACACCTCTGATATCAGCCAGCAGTTGCATACTCCTTCAAGAATCAATCTCAGCTTTCCTCTGGATGAGACCCCAGTGGCTCTTTGCTACTTCCCGGCATCGGTGGCCACGTCCATCGCTGTGCTAGTGGGCCCCGGTGCAGGGCTCACGGATGATTTTGTTGATGCCTTGGGAACCAGGAGGGGAGCGCAGAGGTCCGTGTGTCCTCCCAGTGGGTGTTGATTGGTTCTGGACTGGAGGTGGCATCCAGGAACCAAGAAAGTCCCCTGGACTGTGGACTCACAGGAGACAGGAATTGTTTTCATGCAGCCTTAGGCCCTCAGCCCGGTGCGGGGCCTGGCCAACATACATTATTTATTAAATGTTAGAAGTTGAGCAGCAAACAGCAATAGGCTGAGTGAAGAAGGTGCTACTTCAAGGGAGGGCAGTAAAAACAAAGAAAAGGAGTCCTTAGAAGAGGGCTCATGCCTTTTCTATCCACGGATGTGGCCGTTTTCCCAGCTGCAGATGTCAAGTTAAATCCAGGTGCTTCAAGGATCTTCAAATGAACTGTGATGTGTGGATGGGACTAGTCTCATATCTGCCTTCTTGCTGTGACACTTCTTCCTGATGCTTGAGTTAATACAAACACTCTAAATCAGCAATTAATTCGAGGCGTCGTGAAACCAAATAGTTTGGTGCCTTGAAAGCATAAGCCATGCGTTGTGGATTGCTTTTGAAGGCCAGTCTCTGATTTCTTACACTATCTCCAATTATGTAGTAGAACGTGGGAATAAGTAATTGGCCTTTGAAACAACTGAAGGCTGAAATATGGTATGGTCATTAAAAACCACATTTTCAAATGACATTTATCAATAAGGGAAAATTCTCATTATGTAATGTTATATGAAAAAGCAAGAGACATGGAGGCGCCTGGGTGGCTCAGTTGGGTGAGCGTCTGCCTTCGGCTCAGGTCATGATCTCGGGGTGCTGGGATAGAACCCTACGTCGGGCTCTCTTCTCAGTGGGGAGTCTGCTTCTCCCTCTCCCTCTGCCTGCTTGTGCTCTCTCTCAAATAAGTAAATAAAATCTTAAAAAAAAAAAGAAAAAGCAAGAAACTCTAACTTGGCATATGGAGGCTCAAATAAATTTCTTTTGAGTAAATGAACATTTCCTAGGATGGACGAGGTGAAAACTTTATATGTCCGTGCAAAAAAAATGTGAGTCCAGGGAGGAATATGACTCTTCGGCTCTGAAAATCATGAACTAGTAGTCGAGAAGTCTGGGCATCATCCAAGCTTTTAACCCTTTTGGAGCTCAGTTTCCTTATCTGAAAACAGAAGTGAAGGTCTGCTCGAACGTGGTCCCTGAGGGGCCCCATTTGCCCATTTGGGTGCCACATGCTCTGAGTTGCGATGTGACTCTGCGCAAATCAGCAGTCAGAGAGAAGGATGCCACAGGGCAGGTCTCATATGGTTCGCATCACTTTGTCAACCAGACTTGATCAACCTTGACCTCCTATTATTTCCCGTCATTTTATACGACCGTCTTGAGTTTCTGCCTTGTGAGCCACTCCTTGCTGCTGCTGAAAAAGAGACCTCGTGATTTATTAATCAGTTAATCAGTGCATGCTGAGGAGCTCTTCAGGGTAGTTAAACAGGGAAAACAAAATGCTGCAGCCCACACTCAAGATGGGTCCTCATTACAAATAGCCCTCCCACCGCCGATCTTCCTGCCCACCCCTGCTGCCCCACGCGGCCTATTACCCACAGCTCATCAGACCCCATTCAGTCCAGAGGAGCTTCCATCCCATAAAAGCTACAGTAGGTTTCAGAAGGGCAGGTTTTCTTTTAATGTCCTAGAGGAAAACAAGCCTAGAGATGAGCCTCATCCATTATTTGCAAAAAAAATATTGGATCTCAGAAGTTTGATCAGGCCCCCAAGGTGGCGTATGGCTCTGTCCATATAATATACAGAACTATTTTCTTGTCCCAATTTCTCTACAACCAGAGTCATGGAGCTGGAAGGACCTTACCACAAGGAGAGGCCATGGCCTCATGTGACAGATGAGGCTCTTAGTGAGGCTAAGTAGCTTATCCAAGGTCACACAGCTAATTAGTAGCAGAGCTGGAACTAGAACCGAATATTCTGGTAACCAGTTAATACTCCTAGCACTTGTTTCTCTGTGAAGTCCCGTTGTCCTGTAAAAATCACATGAAGTAAAGGAAAGAAATCGTCCTCCTTCAGTTCAGTTTCTGATTGCTTTGAGATAAGGGTTTCTGAGCTAAAGAATTTTGAATATTCGTTGTAGATGAAGTTTGTGGGGAACAGTATCTTGGACTGCTTGCTAAGGAGCCATTTTTCTTTGAATCGGTCAGGATATCAGACACATGTATCCAGCTTGCCATGAGCAAATGGTAATCAGTGAATCTTCAGACCTTGCTAGGCTGCTGGAGCAGGCTGGGTCTCTGGTCCAGAATCCTCTCCGTTTGGTTTTCTTCTGGTGGCACTTAGCACACAGTACTGATGGGGCCAAGACTTTCTTAGAATGGAATCTCCAACAATTACCAAGGTTCCAAGGGTCACAGGGAACCAGGGGACCATATGCCTCAGCCCAGAATGACTGCACTCCCCCCTTCTTAGTGAACACCTTGGGGAGAGCCAGGCGTGGCTGTAATTCTTTAGCAGACGCAAGGAGAAGAATCCGGAATGTTCTTATTTGACTATCCTGGCTTAGAGATCTTTTTTTTTACAGTTGTTGCTTAATGTTTGCACCATCATAATCTTACATTCGTCACCTGTGTTTGTCCACCAGAGGCTGTCCTGCCAGTCTGGCTGCTCGTCTCTGTTGGATGTCTATCAGACAGTCCAACTCTGGCTTGATCTAGGGCTTAACTCTAGTGTGAATCGCACTTACCAGCCTTGAGTGATAGGTTCTCCTGTTTTTTTGCTTGTGTGTCTAGGACCCTGCTTTCTCGGCTGTGATTCACGACAAGCTCCAGGTCCCCAACACCATCCGGAAAGCATGGAATGACAAGGACAACCGCTGTGACGTCTGTACCACACACCTGAACCAGCTGAAGCAGGAGGCCATCCAGATGGTGCTGACCTTGGAACAGGCAGCTGACAGCGAGCACTACGAAGGCTCCCCTGGCTCGCCCCCACCGCTCTCCAACATGCCCACCCTGCTGGGGCCCCGGCCCGGGGCTGGGCTCCAGCAGCCCAGAGAGTGGGCCTTCGTGCCTGCCCCGTGTGCCTCCTCCAACTACACGGCTTTCATCAGCAACAAGCATAGCAGCAAACCCAACAGCCTCGGGGTCAGCAATGGGGCCGAGAAGATAAGTGGGTCCCCAACCCACCAGGCCAAGGTCAGCCTCCAGATGGCCACCAGTCCCAGCAATGGGAACATCCTCAACTCAGTGGCCATCCAGGCTCACCAGTACCTGGACGGCACCTGGTCCCTGTCGAGAACCAATGGGGTCACCCTGTATCCATACCAGGTAAGTGGCCTCTGAACAAGTTAGAGTAAGTTTGGTTGGAGTCAAAACAGGATGTGGGCAGCACTTCCTGCCTTTGCTCTTTTCCTTCTGGGAACTCCCCAACTCAGAGCCTAATGCCTCCATGTGGCTCCACTGGGTGTTGCTAAATAAAGAGAAAATGTCTGAGGGACCAGTGATCCCTCTAGCACTCTGCTTCCACTGTCTGGACCTTCTAGAAGAGGTGTAGACTCCCTTCCTAACCTCTTCTGCCTTGATGGACCATAATCCTTTTTTGTTTGCAACTCACTTTAAATACAGTTGGGATAAGGTTTACTGAAAGTGTCTTCCCATTTTCTTATTTTCTCTTTGCAGTTATTGAAATGAGCACATACTGCCAAGTTTCCCTAAAGAAATAAGAGAACAGGTCCTAAATCTGTCAAGGAATCTAAAAAAAAATTGTCTTAATTTCTCTTGGGTGAGTTTTCTGTTGGATAATGGTTGGGTTTACCATATGCATCTGTGTCCCCTGCACCAGGCATGTGGGAAGCAGCAGAAAGCATTGACAGTCGTGGTGGAATGGAGAGGTGGCTGTGGTCATAGAGTGTATTAGTTAGGGAGGCTAGCTGGTGTAACAAATGATCCCAGGGTATTTCTTACTCATGGTCCTGCTGTACCGGGTGTTTGGTGCATGGCCTTCCACTGGTCTCCATGTCACCATTTTCCAGAAGTCCCAGAGTCTGCCACCAGATCTTGCACAAGTGGCCAAGAAATGAGGGAAAAATGAGATTGTGGAGAATCTCACAGGGGGACATGGGGGGCTTAAGGGGGGCGGGAGAGCCCAGCCTGGAAGGGGCATAGGTAACTTCCATCCACATTCCAGTGGCAGAAGTCCAGGTGTTTGGCCTCTCCTTCCTGCAGGGGAGGCTGGGAAAGTCAGTCTGTCCATGTGTCCAGGAGAGAAAAGAAGCAAGATGAGCAAACACAGCATCATTTTTGTTACATGGGGCAAAGATGCAGGGAAACATAAAATGAGTTAAATGTGGCTGATAAAATCCTGGTGACTTTTCTAGAGTGTAGATGGCTTCTCTTGATATCTTGAAGGAACATGGGGAGCCTGGATCATTATCTTAAGAAGTTAGCATTCTTGGATTGCCCAACTTCATTTATTGGGTAGGTGCTTTGGAGTTTACGAAATCTAGCATGCACGTCATTTTATGTAACCTCACGGTGGGCCTGTGAGCAGGCAGGACAGAAGTCGGATCTTCCTTTTGTGGACGGGGAAATCAAAGAACCTGCAGCCCCGCAGTTGGTAACAGAGCCAGCACCGACTCACCCCTGATCGGGGGAGCAGGTTTCCCTCCCTCAGCCGCTCCCGACTTTACTGCCGTATCCCAGAGCAGTGACCTATCAACATCTTTCCCAGATCTGGCTCCTTTTCAGCCATGGCATACAAAGAAAACCACTCCTATCCTGACCTCCAGGGGCCTACCTGCCACTTTACTTTTAGCTGGAATATTCTGGGTCATCCAGATGAATCTGATGATGAGCCACAGCACCCTGATGGGGCTTCCTAGTCTAATGCTCGAACATAACTGTCCAGGGCCTGAATACACTTGCCCCCTCCCATTGCTGAATCAGATACATTTTCTGTTTGAAATTTTAAATATATTATTTTGAAAACTACAAAAAGTAATAGGGTTACTGTAAAATAACATGCAAACATACAAAAAAGCATAAGTATGATTTCAAAAGTCAACCTCACCCAGAAATGGACTCTGTAACACTTGGGCACATGTCTTCCCAGTGTTTTATAGGAACACAATTTATGAAATTGTGATGATGTTTAATTGTCATTGGCTTTTCACTTAATATACTGGGTGCATTTTCCCGTGCCATTATATGGTTTTCTAAAATATGACCCTTAATGGTAGCATAATATGCCATTATATAAATATGATCCATTATCTGAGTATGGCCTGATTTATATAACCAAGTGCCAATTACTAGAGTTTAGGTTTTTGCTACTATAAATAAAATGCTCCAGCGCACATTCTTCTCCCCAGGTCATATTTTCAACACATCCCAGGTTGTGCTAGCCATGTACTCACGTTACACAGACAACTCATGTTTCCCTTTCCTGGGCCCCAAAGCACTTGTAACATATATCAGGTGCTGGCTGGAAGACTCAGCTGCCATCCAGCACTAATGAGCAGGGACAGAAGGACTTGGAGCTGGTGCTCTCGTATAAAATGGTCAAAGTGTTAGGACAGTTTGTATGGGTTGGGGGGTGGGGTGGGGGCCAGTGAAGATGCTGCTTGTAAGCAAGTTTGAGGATTATTGGTGCATTTCTCTTATTTGTACTATGATTCTTTCTGCTCCTCCTCCTCTTCTTCCACCGTTGATGAGAAAGAATCTCCAATACAATAACACATGTTTATTAAGCTCTAATCAAGCGCTGGGCATCTGCTGGGTGTTAGTGGGGCTCCTGCCATGGGTCGTGTGGTCCTCGGGGGACGAGGCAGGTGAACCGCTCAGTATCAGCCAGGGAGGTGAATGCAGAGGTGGTGAGAGCTGCCCAGCTTGCTCTGAGAGCACACAGAAGGGCTCGCAGCCCAGCCTGTGGGCAAGAGCATGTTGGTGTGGTCTAAGGATGATTCACGCGAGCCACCAACTTGAGATTTTCCTGGGTAAATTTGATGGCTCCTCTCCAACTCCAGAGCAGACTAATTCATGCCTTTCCCCCAGACTGATAAAGGGATCAGAGGGTATCTGTCTGGGATAAAGAGATTTGGTGCCTGGCTGCGAATCAGCGTCCCCATGTCGTGAGTGTGTCATCCCGATGCCCGGGGCTGGGTGATCTGGGTCTGGCCAGACTGAATGTCTCCCGTTATGGACATCTCCCTGCAGTAAATATTCTGCAGCTCACAGTCTAGCCAGTTCAGCAGAGACGGTTGACTGCACTGAAAGCTGACCTCACTTTTCCTGCCCATCCACACTCCCACTTCCCTCCCCACAGAGCAGAGAGCCCCCTGGCCTGGTGCCAGAGCCATTCCCCAGGCAGAGAAGCATCTAGGCTTTGTTGCTGCTGAGAGTTCTGCTCCACACCCATGGGCCTGGGGCCTGCAGAAGTGAGGGAGAGGAGGACACTGCCCTTCGCCGTTTCAGTGCAAGGAGGATTGACAGAGACGAGGACGGGCTTTCCAACACTGACAGGGGGAGTCCTTCACATGGGTCAAATAGAGGTCCCTCAAATTCCTCAAGCTCCCCGTTACCCACAGTCTTCAAGAAGCAACCTTCAATTGTCTTTCCCAGAAAGTCTTTCTTTGATGAGCTTGTAGACAGTTAACACAGTCTACATACATTATGTGGGAAGCAGAAAATGCTCTAGAACCTTCCATGGACCACATGGGTTTTGACTTTGAAAACATGTGACTTCCTTGTAGTCAACCATGGATTAATTTCATCTTTTCGAACAGCAGCTGCTTTTGCCTAATTTCTGTTCGTTATAGTAAATAACTGCAGGAAAGACTGTACCCACATAATGCTCAGAAACAATAGAATGTTCATATTCCAATCCAGAATCACAGAATCCAATAGAATGGTTGCTGTCTTTTGCATCAGGGTGGGAGACTCGGAGACCTTCTCACGAGGGCTCAGGTCTGTGACTCCGACACTCGTTGAACTTCAGCTTAGTAGCTTAACATCTTAATTTATTTACTCACCCATGGAACCCCCCACCTTGTAAGTTTGTTGGACAACAAAGTTAAGAAAAATATGAAAATATTTTATGAACATTCAGGCAGGGATACCAGTATTCATGATCTATTTGAATCCCCTCATTTGCCAGAAGAGAAGCCCGAGGATGAGAGAGATGAAATTCTTCTTTGTTCAGAGTTTCCTGAGTCTTAGTTTGATCCCTCTGGCTAGAGTACAGACTCATTGAGAACCAGATGCGTTTTATTCTTATGTCCCCTGCAGCAACTAGCATGTGCAGAAGTGGCTGCTCCTTAGAGAAAATGTCGATCTCGGGGGGACACTAACGGTTTTTCTCATGACTGGCCCTAGGTTCAGGAAAAAAGTCTGGGCTAGAAGACCTATCCAGACCCCACGATTTTTGGTGGAAACCAACTGGTTAATTGGCGCCAAGTGAATCTTTAACCTGAAATATCTTAACGATACTCAATAAATTCTTGGATGCCGTGCAAAGAATCCAGGGGGATTTGATGTCACACTCAATGTAGGTGCATTCGAAGGGACAGAAGAACTTTATTTCATGGCACTTCAGTAAAGAGGACATGTCAAGAAAATTTAAGATGATGTTAGATTAATACGAGTAATATATCCATAGTGGATCATTAACGTGACGAAGTATTTGACGCGTGTTGCTTGAGTCAAAGGAAGATGTCTTTGGTAAAAATCATCCTGCTTTTTCAAAAAGCATCCATTGGAATCAATGTCAGACAATGGTAGACTGAACTCTGGCTGAAGTCGGTGTGGGGTTACCTCTATTATATCTCCAGATATTGATCGTGCCTCGTAAGCACAGGTGTTACTGGAGTCTACATTTTAGGTCACCGGCAAGGGGAATGCAACAATGATACCAGCCTAAAAGGAGTCAAGGTCTGCTGAGCTGTAAGACCTCTACGGTACCTCTGCTTGCTCTTCAGAGGCCAGAAGCCTTGGGAGGATGTGGGGCTGGCCCCCCTTTTTTTTCTTTTTTAAGATTTTATTTATTTAATAGAGAGTACGAAGGAGGGAGAGAGGCAGAGGGAGAAACAGGCTCCCTGCTGATCAGGGAGCCCGACTTGGGGCTCCATCCCAGGACCCTGAGATCATGGCCTGAGCCGAAAGCAGATGCTTAACCGACGGAGCCACCCAGGTGCCCCAGTGCTGGCCCTTTTTATGGAGGACTTCCCAATGCCCCTGCAAGAGGAAAGCAAGATTCTGCTCGCTAGTACCCCAGTCTCAGAGGCTTTCCTTCTGATGCGTTCATGGAAACCAGGAGCACAAGTTCTCGTGTA